AAAAAATATTGGATTACATGAAAATATATAGTTAAAATTAATTATTGATTTTGATTTGAGTTAAAATCTTAATTTTAAATTTCATCAAACGAGAGATAAACTTTTACAAGTACAAAAATTGTGAACTTTTATTGACCTTTTTGAATTCCTAATTATCTAACTATAGTATATTAAGAATGCAATTAAATAAATGATCAAATTACACAATAAAACTAGAAAACTTATTTCTCTCTCCTTTTTTCTTTTTTTCTTTTTTTTCCATCTATCAATACATGTAAGAATGGTTATTGTAACCCCCGGGGCACAGCTCAACTGGTGGATCAATCAACATTGGCTTGATTCCAGCGGTAGGGTGGAGAGTTCGATTCCTGGTGGGAACCTGCGGCCAAAAATTTGGTATGGAGCAATCACTGTAGAAGAGGGTCTCTTGTGCGTAAAAGTGTACAGTCAATGGGGAGAACCTGTGATCCAGTTGAGGCATAACCCGCGATTTACCCTTTCAAGGTTCTAGGGGCATGGGTCCTGAAGGTTCAGGATTTAGTCTGGTGTAAGTTGGGATACCTGGATATCAAAAAAAAAAAAAAAGAATGGTTATTCTAACTTCATATTTGGTTCAAAAAATTAGTTTCTTTTCTAGACCTTGTGCCTGTGCCTATTTGAATTTCTCCATTGATAATTTCCTACTACGACTTTGTACCTGTACTTTGAATATAAATATTGACATCCATGTGCTTGAAGTTGGTAACAAAAAGAAAATATAGGCAAGCAAAAAAATTATACTTTTATATATAAGTGGACCACCTATATCTGAATAAGCCGACATAATTTAAAATATTAGGAAATTACTTTTATGGTAAATCACCTCAAACATGCTCCTAGTCATTATATATATGTTAGAACAATAGATATATAATTTGAAAGTCTAGCTTGAATTTGGTTACTTCAACTTGGAGCTCATAATTTATTCTCATTAATAGATATTGATTACGATCTATCCAGGCTCGACTTGGCCTGGATCAAGTTTTAAGGTCACTAACAGGCGGGTAAGGTGACGACTCCTCATCCCATGGCCCAAGGATTGACCTTGGACCTCAATGGAATAACACGACAGAGAAGTCAAACCGACCTATGTCTCACGTAGTTGAGATACAATCGGAGGATTTGCAGTCACAAGTCACCATCCCGACCATGCAGATGGATGAGGATGAACAGGGAACGTTAGGTTATGTAGTTTTAGTCAATATTTACCTCTAATTACGCAACCCTTGTCTATTAAGGAATCATAGTACTTCTATAGCTAGAATACTGGATTGAATACAAGCTTCTACTATTATATGGCCTCCCTGCCCATAGGCTAATTTCAATCCAAAGTATTCATAATCTCGTGCATATTTTTTTTCTTTACATTTGCTAACTTAAGTATCAAAGGGTCAACAAGAACGATCCTTGAAACTTTTGTTTCAAGTATTCGAGTATTGTTCATTTTGAGACCCAACTCGATCATCAAGCCCAAAATTCCATTGACCTTACCTTGATAGGTCAATTTTTTGGAGCACTTGATGTGTTTGCACATTTGTCATGAAAAATTGAAGTCCGATAAAATTTAAATGGAAAAATTGAATATTATGGTCAAAATGTACTAGACTACTCGAGCTAGAATAGCTCGATACATGTGAGCATGAATCAAACATGTCATGGGGTGCACAATAACCAGCTCACTTATACATTGAGCCAAGTCAAAACCAGGGTGTTGAGGCTATCGAGCTATATTATAAATGTTTTTTTCTAAAAAAAAATTAATTTCTTTGATGTTAAATTCAAAACAAAATCAATACATCCAAGATTGTTGTTAGCACATAAATTATAACCCAACACAAATGAGAAAAGATGTCAAGTCGTCTTAGTTATGGGACGTCTCAACTACTACAACACGATTTACCTTTCATTTCAAATCACGATAATTAAATGGTCCTCATGTGACCGATTTGAAGCAATGGAAGGTGGAAAAAAGGAATAATATTGTTTGTGTAGGGTCAATTTTCTTCTCCAATTTTGTGTAGGTGTGTGTGGGTGAGTGGGGTGGGGTGGGGGGGGGACTAAAGAAGAAGATGATAAGAAAATGCCCCATCACACATCAAGTTCCCCAAGGTGATTGAGAATGCAAAACCATTGGACTGATCACTAAAGAATAATCAATTCCCATAGCTGGACATTTTTGTCCATTTCGAAATGTGGCAAAAGAACAATTTTTTTTTTTTTTTTTTAAGCTCCTGTTTGAGTTCTATTATCTAATTTTATTTATTTTTTTCAAATTCGTTTCAATCATACATTGTTCTAATAAAATACTTTCCCTGTAAATTTAAATTTTTCTTATTTCTTAACTACTCTTTATTCAAAATTCATTTTCAGGAGTAGAATCCAAACAGATGCTATAATTGCTCCTTCATTCATTCTTCCCCTCATAGTGAAAGTTATTAGGCTGACTTCTGGAGTATGGGGCCGCAGTGCGGTGGGGCCAGTCACCTTAAAAAGTTTACCCTACACAGTTTTGCCCCCCCAGGGCACTTCTCCACTGGCAAAGGACGGACGCTGTCAAACCTGGCAGAGCAGAGGTCGTGAGTTCGAAACATGG